GGTAGTAAATTACAACATTTTTCAAAAATTAGGTAGTCAATTACAACATTTTTTTTAATAGGTAGTTTTTCGCAAATTCTAGATTATAATATGTAGTTTTTCACAAAATTTCCTTTACATTAATTATAATACAGTAAAATGTAGTTTTTCATATACATACCTGATTATTTATGATCATTTATACCAAATGTACATTTACTATATGAATAATGTTCTTTAATATTATCATGTTCTTTACTAATATTACAAATGTTCTTTAGATTTACAAAAAAACATATAAAACTTGATGTTCTTTATAAAATAATTATATGTTCTTTACAAAGCAACTACGTAGTATATGTTCTTTACTGAACAACTAAGTGTTCATTCCGCCTTTTTTTTTAAAGAAAATCGGATGGTGCATCCGCCTCCACAGAAAAAATTTCAGATACTCGAGACTGATTTTAATTACAAAGAATAATGTGTAATTGATGTAATCCATGTTATATATGGTTGAAGATCGAATACGACTCAAAATGAATAGAAATAGTGGCACATGTATAAGATCCAAGGGATCCCATGGAAAACATATAGTAAGAAGAAAGCAAAGCATGCTCATGACATGCATCGAAGGTGCAACGTGAATGGCATAATTTCTTTCTACAAAGTAGGAAAAGCATATAGTAAACTTAATTGAATAATTGTTGTGTTACTCCAAATTATTGTATATTGTATACATACTACTTTGCATGCATGTGACCTCTTGATCTCTACATCATGTTCAAATCATGATGTAATCTCTATCCATATTTTTTTTTTTGCTTCGTAAATACTTAATATAACTATATAAGCATGTACATTACTTGCTACCTACTAGTACAAATTTAATCATTTTTAGTAATATTTTATCAAGGACTAAGAATTAATTTAGGATTGAAATTACTTATGTTCATTATTAAAAGATCAATTGTAACATATATATACACGCACCTTGTTAATTTACTACTCCAGTCCACAAACATTTGTGACGAAAGAGTCATCTGACACTCAACCTCTATATTTCATAAATGTTAATGGAAAGATAGGGTGTCACACTTCAAATCTTCAATCAATTGCTATAACTTGCCTAGGGTCACACTTATTTGCCTAGGGTCACACTTATAGTAAAATTAAACTTTATACAATTTAAAAATGGAGACAAGAACAATGAACAATAATTCTAGGAGACTTATCTACCATAAACTCTTTTGTTACTCCCACCGTGTTTATAACAAGGGCATATTCAGATTTACTGAATTGAGCTGAATTGAACTGAACTGAACTGAATTGAATTGAAGTGAATTGTTAATGAGAGAAGAAAAATAAAAATAAACTGAATTGAACTGAAATTAAGCTGATAGAGAACAAGTCCTAACTATTACCCTTTGACTGATACATAATTTTAGGCAACTTAAATAAAATAAGAGGTAAGTGGGGTAGTTAGTGTATTAAAAAATTGTAAAAGAAAGATAATGAGGTTAATAGATTATTGAAAAATAATAGAGTAAGAGGAAAGAAATTAAATAATAATAATAATAATAATAATAATAATAATAATAATAATAATAAAAAGTAACAGTGGGTTTGAGTAGGATCTATAAATTGAGAAAGATATACGAAGTATTGTTATTTGCCAAAAAGAAAAAGTATAACACTTATTAAACACGTAATTAAGTAAATGTAACACTTATTAAAACACGAAGTGCTATACTCTTACAAAAGAAGCGGCATATGATAGTATACTCCTTTTTTCATCATTGTAAAGGTAAACCAATTTTATTTCTCTTGTTCTTTTTTGACCTCAATGCAATGCGTAAAGAAGTATTCCATGGGATCAACATTATTATTACCTTAACTGTAAAGTCTAAAATACACCAAAATTTGCACTTTACTACATTACTTTTTACTATTTTTTTCTTGACATTCAAATAGGAGGAACAAACTACTACGACCTAAGTAACAACTTAAGTAGATAAAGGGAGTATAGGTGACGGTGGGGAAGGTCCCCCTTTTTAGCTTTTTCATTACGTGATTGAAGGGAAATTAAAATATAAAGGCAAGGAATAAAAAATAAAAAAATAAATAAATAAATAAAAAACACTACAACTACGGAGTATAATATTAAATACTTTATAATTTTATATGGTGGTATAAATTTAGATTTTTGTTGATTCTTAATACCATACATGTATTTGGTTATCAGAGAATATATACGAATAAAATACCTAAATGTTTGACATGACATTATGACTCGTATGATGAGTAATGAGCCAAAGATTTATCTCCTTGTACGTATGTGAGATTAAAATTTCTCAAACAAGGCATACATTAGATATAATGGTATGAGTTTTAGTCATTTCAAAAGCATAACTCGATCTATATAATTACGCAAATCAATGCAAACATTCTCTAAAGTTTCTACTAACTTTATTTTAATAATGATCCTACATATCATTGCAACATAATTTATTAGAAACGAAATTTATGTTCATATGTTGTACTAATTGTTTGTAGAGTAATTAAGAAATATATAATTATTACAGAAGTTCTGATGTTAATGAAATAATGAGTATGTATAAATTAATTATCACGTAAACGTAGCTTAATCACATAGTCAGTGCCACTCAATGGACTATTTCCTTACAGATATCATGAAGACACTAAAGTGACCAAGCTAGTATGTGCATGTAATTAAAAATCGATCCAATTTAAACAATGTGTTTTTATTTATTTATTCATTTTTTTTATTGAATCAAATTAAGATGTGATAAAGTTGAAGTTTAAACAACATATCTAGAAAGTGAATTGCCCCGTAAAACATTTCCTTCACAAATGAAACACATTTTTCTCCCTACTTATCTTCTTTTTATGTTCCTGTCACCCATTCCCACATTTTCACTTCCAAGTTTTTTTTTAACTTTTCTGGTAAGAATCAAACACAAAAAAACTATTTTGTAAGGCCATATTCATTTCACCTTAAAACAATAATATTTAGTAAAAATAAGTTCAGTTCAGTAAAAATAAGTTCAGTTTAGTAAAAATCAGTAAATTTAAAGAAGAAAAAAAAATAGAAATTTAGTAAAAATAATTTCAGTTAAGCAAAAATCATTTCAGTTCAGTAAAAAATAATTTAAGTTCATCAAAAATAATTTCAATTTAGTAAAAATAAGGTAAAGTGAACGGGACTTAGGTGTAGTTTTCCATAAAATATATATTTTCATATTGAAAATATTTTACATCAAACCAAACAGGAAATAATCCAAATCATAAATGTTAAACCATTTTTTTTTTTCAAGGATCAAATATTGTTTTTTTGTTTTTTTTTTTTTTTTTGCTACAAAGAGAGTATAAATAGAATAATATTGTAATTCCTCTGTTTTTATTTTATTGCACCATTAGGACTTTTACACTATTCACTTAATCTTCTTTTACCATCATTTGTGATTTATACATTAGGAAAATATAGTCATGTGGAATCTAGTTAGATTTGTATCGAACTCTACTTTTCAAATATAAAATTTTTATAATTTTTACAAAAGTATAATTGAGGATATTCATAGCTAAAGTACGTAATGCATTGGCAAGCGTGAAATTCCTTATGGTGCAATAAAAAAAGAACGGAGGAAGTATAATATTTGTAATTATTAGGCTTACACAAATACAGAAATACCCTTGATAAGTACTCTCTTTGTCCTTATTTTATTGCCCCATTTGACTTTTTACGGTCTTCAAGACGCGTCTTAGAACACATATATCTTCATTTTCATACACGTAAATATTATAAAAACTTGATATTAATAAATTATGCAATAAGCCGAATATAATTAACAAGATCACTCATGACTATATTATCTCTTGTAGATTAACGGTAATTTACGGTCAAAGTTTATAAAGTTTGACCCAAAAAATAACAATGGGGCAAAAATAAAGAGACGGTGGGGGTATTAAGGGCCTGTTCTCTTACATTGAAATTCAGTTCAGTTCAGTTCAATTCAGCTCCTAATTTCCTTCTCTTATAAAATATTCATTTTAGTTCAGTTCAGTTCAATTCAGCTCATCAGTTCAGTTCAGTTCAATTCAGTTTAGCTGAGTTCAGTCAATGAGAACAGACCCTAAGTATGACGACACGAGTAACAATTAAGAGTCATAATTATTTCAATATAAAATTAATACAATATTAATTAAAAAAAAATCATTTCAATAAAGAATATCTGAATTTGTAATTTTCTTTATATATTTTCAAAAATGGCACATCAGTGACCTATGCTACACTGTAATTAAACAAGGCTAACCATAGTGGTAAGAGATTTGTCTCGTAAGATCAAATTTCATTAGAGACTTTTTAATTGGAGTTAGAGATTTCTTTACCATCCCTCTCTTAATAAATTTAACATGCTAGTTCAGTAGAGTTTTTAATGAATTGATACTTAATTTTTCCTTTTTGTGGAAGAATTTCAAATGACAAAAAAATAAAAATAAAATGTGAAAATAGTTAGATGCTATGTATATTGTACAATTCTCAAAAAAAAAAAAAAAAAAAAAAAAAAAAAAAAAAAAAGTGTATTGTATGACAAACCCGTGGGTAATTATTCATACATATTCTCTTGATCCAATTAGTGAAAAAGAAAATTTGAACACATCTCAACTTTCACAGATTCTAGACAAATAATTAAGAAACTAAAATTTGACACACTCATTATTGATATTGGCACACCTCCATGTGAGAAGAGCATTAGAAAACTGAAATCAATCTTACAATGAGTGTGCCTAAATCAATTTTGATATGCTAAAATCATTTCTCCGATAATTAAGTACACCCCAATACTAATGTAATGTAGTGTAATAAGATTAAAATCATACTTGTAGAACATTTAATTCAACTATTCAAGTAACAATTCTACTCACATTATAGTACATTTAATTCAAGTAACCATTACATTAAATAAAAGGACAAAGATTCCTTGGGGACGCAGAGAAGTATAATATCAATGTTGGTCGCTGATACACTCATACACACAACACACTTGCTTTTTGGACTGCCACACTGCTTCTTTCCCTTCTTCCCTTCCTTCCTTAATTCATGAATTCCAACTTCTTTTCTCTCTCCATTTTCACACCCATTCTCCCTCTCTTATTCTTCTCCTTCTTTATCTAACCATTGGCTAATCTCACACCCATAAAGTGGGCTCCCCTTCATATTATTTTTTCTGTTTTTTTTTTTTTTTTGCTTAAAAAGTGTAACTCACACCATTTCCACCTTCCCTTACAAAGTTCTTGTCTGTCTTCTTTTCCCTACAAATTATTTTTAGTACCCTTCTTTTTCCTTCTTTTACAAGTTAATTCTGAACTGTAAGTTTCAAATTTCAACCTACATTGTACACTTTTATCATCATTTTTTTTTTCTTTTTTTTGGATTTCTGGGAATTCTAACATCTGGGTTTTGCTAGATTTCTCATTTACTTTTCTGGGTTTCATTTAATTTTTTTTTTTAAAAAAAATTTTGTTTATATTTTTTTTGGGTGTTTCTAGAAGATGGCAGGTGGCGGTGGAGGAGGACCAGGGCCACAGCCAAAGCAAGATGAGCTGCAGCCACACCCAGTAAAAGATCAGTTACCTGGAGTTTCATATTGTATTACTAGTCCACCACCTTGGCGTAAGTCACTTTTATTTTTATTATATGATCTCTCTTATTGTATTAATTTGTTGTTTCTGTTTTTGATTTTGCAGTCAATCAATTGTGAAGATCTCTTGTCTTTTGAATTTTGGAAATTGATAAATTGTGGGGTTTGTTTTTACTTTTTGATTGTGACCACTCAACACGTTAACTTCGTTTTGGTTTATGTATTCTTGTTACTTTCAGCTTGTGGACCTTAAGATTCCCTTTAGTAATTTACGTGTAGTAAATTATGTTTATTTACTTGATCCTTGATACTCTGACATGATTATGGTAGATATGCACTTTATTTCCAACCAAAGAAGTTAATTTTTTCATGAAATAGTCGAGTGTGAAATTTGGGCACATACTCGTGTTGAAAATGAGATTTCGTTTCTTTATTAATTTTTAATGTTGGGTTGTAGACTTGTAGCACTTGTTGATTTCTGATTTTATGTATAGTTAATAATCCCATGGACATAATTCATAATTTGATTTTTTTTTTTTTTTTTTTTTTTTTTTTTTTTTTTTTGAGTTATGAAATATGAATATGTATTTGACACTTCATATTGACAAAAATAAATTTTTTGGTCATAAATTAGAGGGAGCCTGACACTTGGACACATACTCGTGTCGGAATGAGCTCTTGTAGTGATATTACTTGTGTCATTTTGTGTGGGGGAGGGGGTGGTGTTGGATTTGTATGATGTTGTTTCAAATTATGTTTCTATCTGTATTATTTAACCCCATGAACATTATTTGTATAGTGCATGTGTTTTTGTTGTTATGAACGTTGATGCTGATTATAGTTTATTGGCTAACTTTGCAGCTGAGGCTATTTTACTTGGATTTCAGCATTACTTGGTGATGTTAGGGACAACAGTGCTCATTCCTACCTATTTGGTTCCTCAGATGGGAGGAGGAAAAGTACTTATCTATTGCTTATGCTGCTTTGCTTTATAAATGGAATTTAAAACTTGAGCTGAAGTCATATGGTTATTCTTTGTAGGAAGAGAAAGCTAGAATGATTCAAACCTTGCTATTTGTTGCTGGTGTGAACACATTGTTCCAGACCCTGTTTGGTACTCGCTTGCCGGCTGTTATTGGGGCTTCTTATACTTATGTTCCCACCACAATTTCTATTGTTTTGGCTGGTCGTTACAGTGGCATTGCTGATCCTCAGGAGGTTCGGTTATTGGAACCATATATTGAGTGATGATACCTTTTGGGGCTTGGTTATGCTCATTACCCACTTAATGAAATATATCTTGGAACATTTTGCAGAAATTTAATAAGACAATTCGGGGAATCCAAGGATCACTTATTGTTGCTTCAATCCTACAAATTGTTCTTGGATTTAGTGGTTTGTGGCGTAATGTGGCAAGGTAAACTAAATTACTTCTTGGCCAAAAGTTTCATTTTGACTACTATTTCGTGATATGGGATAATTGTGGGCCGTAAATTCTAGTGTTTTGGCTTGGGAGGTTATGTAAAAATTGTACCATGACTGTTTTAACTGCTCATTTATAGATTTTTCAATACTGTATTCTAATGTGATGAGGGACTCTAACTTCTATCCTCGTGTATACATGTCCTGTATTTGTTAGGTTCTTAAGTCCATTGGCTGCTGTTCCTTTGGTAGCTCTCACTGGATTTGGGTTGTATGAATTGGGTTTTCCTGGGGTAAGTGTTACTATCTTGGAAACCACTGAAAAAAAAGATGAGACCTAAATGATGAATATGATCTTTCCTATGTTACTTGTACAATACTTCATGATAAAGATTTGAGACCTAATGATGACTATTATTTACCATGTGTTACTTGATGAATAGGTTGCTAAATGTGTTGAGATAGGGCTGCCGCATATTGTACTCCTACTCATCTTTTCACAGGTAGCAATGGATACTTCTTCTATAATCTATCTGTGATGAAATCTCCTTAGGAGCATTGACATGATGTTTTAGATTATATAGTTATCATCAAGAATTAAGAGTTCATGGTTGTCTTTGCAGTACTTACCTCATCTGATGCGCGGTGAAAGACATATATTTGATCGCTTTGCTGTTCTGTTTTCTGTGGCCATTGTGTGGATTTATGCTCACATACTCACAGTTGGAGGTGCCTATAGGCACAGGTCACAAACAACTCAATTGAGTTGCAGAACTGATCGTGCTGGAATTATTAGTGGTGCTTCCTGGTATGAACCCCGCTCTAGTCTCTTGTATATGGCAACTGAGTTTTACATATCTCCTCACGTAAGGCTATTGTAAGTTAACAGTGCAAGTAGGATTTATGGAGGCTAGATCAAATGGAAAACTCTGGATTAGCAAGCTCTAAAATTTAAGCTCATTAATGATGTGCTGTGATCCCAAATCGTCTTTTTCATCAGCCAAGAGTTATTAATATCACACTGCAATTTGTTATTGGGTGCAGGATAAGTGTTCCATATCCATTTCAATGGGGAGCTCCAACATTTGACGCAGGGGAAGCCTTTGCTATGATGATGGCTTCGTTTGTTGCCCTTGTGGAGGTTTGTACACTTGTTAAATTGCAGAAGCGTACAATTTTCTCTCAAACTATTGTTCATTCTTTATCTTCACTTAACCTCTTCTTGTTATGCTCAACCATGTAGTTCACTCTCACTATTGTCTCACCTTTTTTATTTGTTGTGTGGTAGTCTACTGGTACCTTCATCGCAGTATCAAGATATGCAAGTGCAACACCTGTGCCACCATCTGTTCTTAGCCGTGGAATTGGTTGGCAGGTGATTATACTTGATAGCAATTCAGAGTATAGGTGGAAAGTACCATTTAAAAAGAATCCTAAATAATCTTGAAAATGTTTTTTCATATGTTGAGTACATTAGAGTTATGTTAAATGTATGGGTTGGTATTGACTCCCTTCTGTGTGTATGCCTTTTGGTTTCTCCTCTCTTCTTACAGGGAGTGGGTATTCTTTTGTGTGGACTATTCGGAACTGGGAATTCTGCATCAGCATCTGTGTAAGACTCCATACACCCATCCTATGTTATGCAGATACCAGTGTTCTGTTATAAGGTTAATGTTATTCTCAGATTGGCAATGAGCCTTTTGTCTTGCTAATGTTCAGGGAGAATGCCGGTTTGCTGGCTCTGACACGTGTTGGCAGTCGAAGGGTGGTACAGATTGCAGCAGGATTCATGATCTTTTTTTCAATACTAGGTAATTTTTATCTTAGATGTTTGTGTTCCTCCTACAATTTTTATCACATTTATTGATTTTGGACTTACTATGACAAGGTAAATTCGGAGCTGTATTTGCCTCAATTCCAGCACCTATGGTGGCAGCTTTGTATTGCCTGTTCTTTGCATATGTTGGTACGTTCTTTGACCAACCAGCAAGCTTCGTTCTATATAGTATATTCCTCAGGCTCAAACCATCTGATATTTCTTCACCTTCATGCAATCTGAGCAGGCTCAGCGGGTCTTGGCTTCCTACAATTCTGCAACTTAAACAGCTTCAGAACAAAATTCATTCTAGGTTTCTCAGTTTTCATGGGCTTGTCTATACCACAATACTTCAACGAGTACACAGCAGTGAAGGGATATGGTCCGGTACACACACATGCAAGATGGGTAAGTAAAAACTACAATCTTTTTCTGTTTCCAGAGTTCCTAAAGCTATGATTAAGCTGGTTTGTTTATGGAATCATGCAGTTCAATGACATGGTAAATGTGCCTTTCTCATCGGAACCCTTTGTTGCTGGTGTGTTGGCATACTTTTTGGATGTCACATTGCGCAAAAAAGACAGTGGGACAAGAAAAGACCGAGGGTCACATTGGTGGGACAGATTCCGATCATTCAAGGGAGACACCAGAAGTGAAGAGTTCTACTCCTTGCCCTTCAACCTAAACAAGTTCTTCCCATCCGTGTGAATTTTCTGGAAAGTAGATCAGATGTCAAAAGTAGAAACTGTGAAAAGATGACATGCTCTGGCCTATTTTTTCCCCTCATTCTGATGTTCAGTGTTTATACTTTTGATGCCGCAGACCTCTAGCTTTAGCTGTGTAGATGAGAAGATTCGAAAGAACGTAAAGGGAAAATTTATATATAGCTTTTTTGCCCGAATAGTTGTATCCCTGGTCCAGGTTGTTTAAAAGAATTCCAACTATGGAGTGCCTTGGCTTGGCTTCATGCTGTTCATATGCTTATATCCTGCTCTGTATAGATCTTAACATGGTTTTACTAGTTTTGTGACTTTGAGCTTCACCTTTTAGGCTTATAGTCTTATAATGTACTAATCCTTACTACCCCATCTCTTCGTATAATTAAGTCACACTGTCCCAACTACTCATATCTAACGAAAAAGTCTTAACCGTGAGGCCCTAGGAAGCGCTCCATATCTAACAATATAAGTATGAGGACAATGTTACTTGAAAGTTCTTAATTTCTTATTGATAGAGTATAAAACATATTCTTGGGACTCAACCATCAGCTTAAACTTTTGGTTGAGATGGTCCACTAACATGGTATCGGAGCCAGCGTGACATAAAGGTCACGGGTTCGAATCTCATCCACCCCCCACAATCAAATGGAATATTAAGCGCTGGGTATGAGGAGGGCCCATGCTTTTGGTTGAGTTGGTCCACTAACACTTATAATAGATTGATCTTTTATAATTTCTATTATACTATCTAGTTACCTCCCGTTTGTAATTTCTATTGTATCTTTTTTCTTATTCCTTTCTTTCACCCCTATTGCTGTTGGAATTAATTTTCAACTTTAATGTTACGTGTGTGACTTATTCCACGTGGACAGAATAAGAAGGATGTGAGTTGTTTATGTTGTTAACACCTGAATATGAGTTATGAAACGGGCTTAACTATGATTTTTTTGCAAGCGGGTTAAGTGGTACATATATATACAAACGTATTTATGAATGCGTAGATTCCATGATTTGGTTTGTTTCTTTTGATACTATTTTCCAACAATTGCAAGTTATAATTAAATAAAAATATCAAATTACAAATGGAGTACTTTGAAGGAGTATATGTTTGGTGAATAATATTTGCCATGGGTAAATGATACTCACTCAAATACAAATAATGGAAAAGCATATTTGCATATTTTTAAAATGGTTAGGTTAAAGTAGATATATATACATCAATATCATTTACTACAACCTTGATCCTTCAATGTGGGAGATGGGACAATTGTTAAGGGACATAAGGATTGGTAACTTAGGGCTGGAAAAAAACTTAACATTTAAATTGAGTGAGTTGATCACATTCTACTAACTAGCCCAAATAAAAATTCGGTGTGAGCCTATAAGTAAATTGATACTATAACTAAAGAGAATCTTGTCTAAAAATGTACCAAAAATCTTATGTACGTAAAATCTCTATGCTAGAAATGACTCGAGTGAAAACGACCTCGGTGGTTTATGGATAGACTATATTAGCTTTCATTTGAACGTAATTTCCACGTTAATAGTGTTCAAATTAGATTACCAACTTAGTATTTATTTATCCAAAACATTGATTTAAACATGTTTGATATCGATTGATTTATTGGATGATGCATCAAACTAAGTAGTGATTGCATAATTTAAAGGCCCTTTTTCATTTTCAACCTGTGTGGTTCCTTCTACAAGTACATTTAAATTATTTTAGGTCTTTATGAATTTTGTTAAGGGGCATTATCATATTTGAAATTGAAAGATCTTAACCAAACAATTTCTTATGTCCTCAAGAACCCAAGTGGACCTAAAACTGGACCACTAGATTAGCACATTTGGGCTACTTTTGAGCTAACATCAGTTTTACAAATTCTTGGCTGCATTCTAATGCATCCAAGATAGCTGCATCAAGGCAAAACGCAACCTCCACTGAATGAAACACAAACTTAATTCATCTTCTTCTTCAAGTTTCATTTTTTATGATTCTCTTTCTTCACTTTCATAATAATAATTTTGATCTCAATTTTCTCTCTCCTCTCTCCTCTCTCCCATCTTCCATGCGAAATTCTCTCTCTCCTCTCTCCTCTTTCTTCTCTTTCATTTGACATTTTCTCTCTCCTCTGTTATATGCAACACTATGGATTTGGTTGTTAATCTTAATGAGATCATCAATGAAGGTTAGTTTTTGTGTTGTTTGCAATTAGTTTAATTAAGTTAGACTTTGGATGAGTTTGTAATTGTTTTTGAATTTATAATTTGATGAGTTTCAATATACTCTTGATAAATTGGTTTTTGATTTTATGATTTAATTTTAATTCTTGGTATTCTGATTTTGATGTGAATAGTAATTGAATTGCTTATTTTTTTTTTTGAAAATAATTAAATTCTAGGTATTCTTTTTCTCTCTTTTGTTGGTGGTTTTTAGATTCTCAATCATGTTACAAATCAATAACTATTTTTTCTATGGAAAATAAATAATTATTATTGTTTTGAAGAAAAAATCAATAATTATTTTCTCTATGATGAATCAGGATTAATTTGATTATATTCAACTTTTTTGGAGTTAAAATAATTACGATCGAACTTGAGTATAATTTCTGTAAAAAAAAAATGAACACGTAGTAATTTAAAAATGAACATCTAGTAGAAAATGAACTTTTAGTACATTGAAAATGAACATTTAGTACATAAAAATTGAACATATTTCAACAATTTATTATATCTTTATTTTTTTCGTTAATAATTATATACAATGAATTTGAACCTATATGAAAATCATGTTCATTTTTAATATCCTAAATGTTCATAACTTTTTTTTTACATGTTCATTTTTATACATTTTTTATTTTTTAATACTAATTGTTCATTTTTTAAAGTGTATATATTTTTATGAAATGTTCATTTCATTAGGTTGAAAGTTGAATTATTTGAACATTTAGTGTTGAAACTATGAACATTTTCCATATTTATTATGAACATATATGTTTCGTTATTTTTTATTACGAACATATCTGTTATTGATTATGAACGCAAATGACACATAGAGTGATAATTTATATTTTTTAACTATTATATTAATGATTATACATTATGAACATTCTAAATAATCATTTTGAACATATAATGTGATGATTATGAACATATGTTGTAATGATTATGATTGAAAATTCTGATTATTTGTTGTTATTTGTTATATTTTAATGAGTACAGATCAATTGTATTCGTGGAAGACAAAGAATCTGAATTAGTGAAGAAACAAGTAAGAAGTGATGAAGAAGCATATGAATTATTATGAACATGTGTTGTGATGATTATGAAAATTCTGATTATTTGGTATATTTTAGTGAGTACAGATTAATTGTATTTGTAGAAGACAAAGACTCTGAATTAGTGAAGAAACAAGTAAGAAGTGATGTAGAAGTATATGATATGTACAATGAATTTGCCCTTAAGTTGGAGAATTCCCGATGTATATGATCCCAATTTTATGGTTGTATGATAAAGGTTCATTTTTAATATACTAAGTGTTCATTTTTTTTGAGATGTTCACTTTTTATTACTGAATGTTCATTTTTTTACGTGTCCATTTTTATTACTGAATATTCTTTTTTTTATATATATATATCATTTTTCTAACTAAATGTTCATTTTTAAGGTCGTGGTCTAGCAAATTTATGATTATATGATAATCAGATTCATTTTTAATAAATGCTCATTTCCTTATAACATGTTCACTTTTTAGTATTAAATGTTCATTTTTTTAACGTATTCATTTTTTGATATTAAATGTTCTTTTTTTCATGTTCATATTTTTTAACTAAATGTTCATTTTTTATTTGGACCGCGCGTTTTGGGCCTCACTTATTGTAGCTATCTTGGCTGCACTAGAGTGCAGCCAAGACCAATTGCATCAGTTTCCTTAAAACTAGTCTAATCTATTCGAGTTGTGGGCCTAGTGCCCCACTCTCTCTTTCTATGCAATTTTCCCTTTCAGCCCGATACCGATGTAAGTTACATATAGTCGGTATAGGTCATGTTCACTTCATATTATTATTTTTAGCTAAATTGAAATTATTTTTATGAACTGAAATTATTTTTTTGCTGAACTTAAATTATTTTTGCTAAATTGAAATTATTTTTACTGATTTTATTTTATACTACCTCCGTTACAAGTTATGTGCATCGATTAGACATTTTCCCTCTCTACTTTATGTCAAATCGTTGCACATAACTTGTAACGGAGGTAGTATTTCTTCTTTAAAGTTATTAATTTTGACTGAATTGAAATTATTTTTACTGAAATTATTCTTTTAAGGTGAAATGAACACGAGTACACAACTTATTATAACTAATTAGACATGTCAGACTGGTTGATTGATCTCTAAATTTTTTTTTTTAAAAAAAAAGTATATTGATTTTGGTTTGAATAAGTTTTGGGGTAACTAGACGTTGAGAATATCTCAAAAAAGCTACGTAATACATAAATATATAAATTATAATAATTTTTTTTTTCATCTCATAGACTTTAAATATAATTTTATTAATATGTTATTTCATATCCCACAATTTTTATGTATATATATCTAACTAAATTCCTTCATCTTCTTTCACAGTTCTATCCTCACTCTTTTTTTTGTTTTCCTTTTAAGTTATAGAAATAAAGCATACCTACATATGAAAATAATTAACCCAAGTAACAACCTGTGCATTAAACGAGCCAAAAAGCTAGTTTATATTAATGTATGATACTAATAAGCATCCGAGCAATAACTAACTCGAGTTACTTAGAATTATTTATTTATATACACATAAAAATTTTAGCACCACTATGACAAAATTAGTTGTTTGGGAAGACAAATGTTTTTTTTATGACAAATGAAAATGTTCTATCTTTTTTTTTTTTTTTTGACACGGAAAAAGGTCTATCTTATTATGCAAAACTTGTTAGATTTGTTTCTTAAATTTATCAATTGTAAAAAATGTATATGGAACCTGTCAAAAAAAAAAAAAAATTTACATTGAAGATCATGAAAAAAAAATTGGTCTTAAATATATGGAGGTTGTATATCTTATGTCTTTTTATGTTGCAAAAATATGAAGCTAGTTTTGCCTTTTACCAAAACTGTTCCAAGTTTTGATTTTTTAAATATATGGAGTATAAAATAAGGTAAAGTTTTTTCAAAAGATTTCAATGATCATTGGTGTGTGACATTACTTTATCTTTTGATAATTTTGACAAATATTCTTAAAAGTGGGGAATATTTTTGCATCAATTAATGTTACAAGTCATCATCCATGGTCTTATTCATCTTTAAAATTGTAGACCCAAATAATAATAATAAGACAATAAAATTATATAAGTATCAAAGGAGCTGGACAAATAATAACAGCCAATCCAATCTTTTGCATCCCCCAACTACTTTACAATACAAATTACAAACCTAAGGTTCATAGTCAACATTCTTATAACCGATCACGGAGAGCCGTAGACCTTCCGATTCTTAGATAAGGTGTTCAATCCTTACATGTAACAATAATGTCAACAATAATTCTTCCCATCATTACACTTTTATCGAATTCGCGTTAACTCTACAAAAAAGGAAAATCTTGTATACATATGGCCATATAACAATAAACAATAAGATTAGTTATCTCAAATCACATACAATTGATTGATATGAATTTGTTAATTCATTGGACGAAAAAGAAATAAGTCAACTTTATAATGAAATGACAGTTATGTATGATTTGGACAATCAAGTTTATCTCTTTATTTTTATAATAACTTGTATATACTTGGTGTGCAAAATCTATTTTGAAAAAAAGGAATAATAAATAATAATCCATATTTAAAAAATTATCCTACACTTTCACACTTTGTTATGATAGTAAGGGACTACTTTTCATTGGAAAACTTCAAACCTGAAAAGGAATGAATCTTATAAGAAATCAAATTATAAATTATAATACTTAAGATTATCATTTCCAATTTGTAATTAGTAGTTTTTAATCACAAAAGTTCTTGATCACTTCCGTCGACAGTGCCGATGACGGCCAAATTAGGACCCCACTTTAGGATGACATCAACCCATATGGGTCCCTTAGCAAAGGCTATATGCCTATATTTCAGGCACCTTCTTTGGTGCTTAATTGACCAACACATGATTACTAAATTATTAGTTTAGCAATTAGGATACCATATTATTGTTACATAAAATATAAAATGTACGGACTAAATAAAAAATCGTTATACTATTTGTCTCTGCTATTTATTTTTTTTCTTCATAATTTAAATAGCGTTAAAAAAGTCAAAATAGAAAGAACAAATACAGATAGGAAGAGTAATTAATAATAAAAAAAAAAAAACCCGAGCTTACCTAAATCTAAGTTATTATAAAAAATTGCCGTCCAATGTAGGAAAGTTGTAGGTATATATACCCATAACTTAAGTTGGGTGAGATAGTCATAGACTCATAGTGGTAGTACAACAACAAAGATATAGCTAAATAAGCTAAGCTAAGCAAAGTAGTGTAAGTTGAAGCTTTCCTTGTTTAATTAATGGTGGTGGGAACCCCCTTAAGATAAAGACTTGTCCTTATTTTCACTTCTCTTCTCTTCCCCTTATATTCAATCTAATCTTAAAACATCCATTTTCTTTCTTCTAAGAGGGGGAAAAAAAGTGAGAAAAATGGGGAATTGCCAAGCAGTTGATGCAGCAGCATTAGTGATACAACATCCAAGTGGTAAAGTTGAGAGAATGTATTGGCCTATTACTGCTAATGAAGTGATGAAGATGAACCCTGGTCACTATGTATCCCTCATCATCCCTCTCCCTCTTTCCGACGACGAAGCCGGAGCTTCGGATAAGAAGAAATCAGTCCGGTACACCCGGGTTAAGCTGCTCCGACCTACGGATACTCTTGTCCTAGGCCGGGCTTATCGTCTCGTTACTTCTCAAGGTTGGTACCATGTTGATCATTATAGAAAACTTTCTTTTGTTTGGTCTTGATGTCAAAAAGTGACTAACTAACCTTTGTTGTTTGATGGTGACAGAGGTTAAGAAAGTTCTCATGGCGAAAAAAATGGCTAAGGCAAAGGTGAATGAAAAGGGGTCAGGAAGTGACAAGCTACAAACAAGTGAGGGAAAAGATAGAGAAGAAAAAAGAAATGAATCAGATAAAAATGATCAGGTAAAAACAGAGGAAAAAAACTGAATATTTTGATACTTTTGAGTTTAAAGTTTTTCTTTTTCATTAATATAATTTGGTTAATTTGTTGAAGAAACTAATAGGGATTGAATTTGATGAAAACAGGGATCAGACCATGACAGACAGAAATTAACATCAAGATCGATGAACTCGAGATCGAAAACATGGCGGCCTTCTTTACAGAGCATTTCTGAGGCTACAAGCTAATATCCAAAAGACTGAATGAAGATCATCAATATGGAACTAACAAGCTACCTTATCTTCAAGAAGAAAAGACTTTTGAGAGATTTGTAAAAGGGAAGGAAATAATGGGCTAAAGGAGAAGGATAAAGGGGGGTCAAACCTCTTTTCAAGTCCAGTTTTGATGCATCTTAAATGCCAATTCCTGTGTATAGACAGATAAATGAAACTATAAATCTGGAAAAAGAAGGGTGCAAAAAAAGGGCTGACTGTTTGTAAATCTGGAAAAATTGTGCTAATGTAAGCTTGTATGAATTTAAGTTCCTTCTCAAAAATGACATGAATTTTGCAATGTTGTTCAAAGGATCAATCTACAAATTTCAGCTGTAAAATAAAGTTACAAAATATTAGAAATGATGGTTTACTTGACTGTTGGAAGCTGATGAGTTCCAGGCTTGCCAGTCGCGATCAATGTAGTTTTGAGCCCATAGCAAAGAAGCTCGAGTAGCCAACGGAGCAGCAGGCAAATTTTTGTCCTTAAGAGCAATTAGCATGTCTGTGAAAGGCTCCACCAATAATGTTCCTGGCCCTCCATATTCTTTGTTCAAAAATTCATGCAGTATCTGTTTCAAATTTCATGCAAAAAGTACCATAAGCGAACTTCATTTACACAAGTCAAGTCATTATTCAAAAGTAGTTATAGCACAAAAATTGATAACAGGTTTGTTGAAAGCATTGGCAATAAGATGAACCATAATTTCGAGTTCCCTCGAGCTATGAAAATGTTTGGTTGACACAGCATTTACCAACCTTCATGAGATAGATAAAGACATCAACTTTTTCAGTACGCTTCTGAGAAGTCACAATTACATGTGTGTTGCTAATCCTTAGGTTGAAAACATTATTGTGTTCTAGGTTGCAAGAGTTCAAGCAAAATCAAGTATTGCGCTTTTCATCTTCAAGCTGAGTTTGAACTGAGCTAACTAAGTCGAAGTCAAAAGCTTGTTCAAACCTAAACTCATTTCGAAATCAGCGTGTTCAGATTTAGCTCAAATTCGATCAATCCAAGCATAAATCAATTGAATTGTGTTCATCAATGAACTTTATTTCTATCAAAGAGACAAATACTTGCACATAAATTTATGGACATAAATATCATATTCAAACTAAACTATTGATAAATGTAAATCAACATATTGTTCATAAACACACTAAATTAATGAAAATGTTATTCATGATCGTAAAAGAACAAGCCTGTACTAGTCTTATACAAACACAGACTCAAGCCGGTCATCAACTCACAAAGAGCATTGGTTCATTTACACCCTAACATCATAGACCTTAATCCATACATGGAATTAAGAGCTGAAGTTGTAGCAAGGCTTTTGCTCAAAACTATCCTTTGAAGCCTAATACAAACAGAACAAAACCACAGTTTAAGTTTACTAAATGTCTATATCCATCTTTCCTCTCTAAATGCAATCCAAGTGCATTACATACACATCTGTAACAACCAACAACCAATCGAAGGAAAGTTCATGGAAGTATGACAAGATACCAAATGTTCGTTCAATGATATGGACATAGCCTAAAAAATTGACACTCTCTATCATCAACTTTAAAACTAAATAACCAGATTCATGTTTTCTTTCTTTTCCGATCTATAGCAGATGTCCCACCAAAGGAGAAGAACCACAGTACAGAATTCAAGAGTATGTTCCAAAAACAAAAGATTAACTAAAAACAGGTTAATTCAACGAATCCGCACTCAAGATTTATGTGATTTGGATGATTTTCTGAGCACAGCAAAGAGAAGCCTCTGAACTAGTTTCCTGAAATTTTGACAGCAACTGCAACTAGATTTTCTGTCAGCAGGGCCCCACAGTTTAAATTAACCACCCAATTTTAGGAGATAGATTAACAAATGATAATTACAAAATTTCTCCCTAACTAAGATTATATTGATAGTATGAATTTTATGACATTTTTTTGAATAAAAAAGGTCTTGTTGTCATTAAGATTCCTGACATTAAAGTCAATAATAGTATTATAAATGTGTTAAATATACAGATAATCTTTACAATAATCCTGTGTGATTATGATTGGGTAATTAAGAAACAAATTAAAGAATGACTGAAAATAACCCTATAAAATAGAAAATAAAATTGTAGAAAGTCCACTTCTTTACGTTGTACCTCCCACAAAATTCCAAAAAGTCCATTAAAAATGTTCAAGAAGATACTGATGAGAAATTAGAATGTTTGGATGAGAAAAATGTAGACCCACAAATGGGCAACAACCTAATAAATTTGGTCAAATTTTAGTCCCCTTATAAACCAATTCATCATTATTTGTACCATCTATCTACTGGATAGAAAGCATAATGGGAAAACGGTTTTTCATATGGAAGAAAAGTAATACCAAGCCTTTAAAATCCATTCTGATGGTTACTTCCTCATTTAACCAGTAACCACAAGATGTTTACTTAACTTCATATACTCTGTACAACATTATGCATGTTTTGAAGTCGAAACCTTAACCATTATTTTCTCCAAAAAAACATATTGACAAAGTGTATAATGATAATATTCCCCCCCCCCCCCCTCCTTTCTTATTATTTGTACACTTCATATTATTTGCACTTCACAAACATTTTTTATGTCATAACGACACAACATCAATAATGGTCTAAAACTCCTAATTTCAATTTATTGATGTTATTACTTGTTAGTTTGAAGTAGTAGGATTAACATAGTATTAAAAATTATCAAAACTTAATGTAACTGCATAACCTGAAATTTAAATCAAGGACAAGAGAAAAATCATAGAGATTATTATTGAATGGTTTTAGTCACTTTCAAAGATATTGGAGTGTAGTAGTGCCCTACATGGGTCAGTTTTTGAACAAGAAAAGTCCAAATCTTTAATTAAATAGGTGAGCCCTAAGATCTAAAACACCTCACATGGCTTACATAGACTGACAATTAAAACCAAAGATGTTTACACATGTGAATAACAAATAATATATTTAGTAGCAGGAAGAATATAATTCAAGACAACAAATATAAGTACGTACTTCATCAATTTCTTATTTTTATAGGATGTAATTAACATTGTTTATATATCAAGCAAGGCTTAATCTAGTGATAAGAGTTTAACCTAATGGGTATATACTTTCAGTCAAGGGATCAAATCTCACTATGAGTTGTTTGGTGGTGAGGATTCTCTTGTCCTTCTCCCTTGACCTATAAAGCTGGACAGATTAACCCATAAGAGGTTCCGACTCACTCCCAAAGAGTTTAACCTGTAAAGCTAGACGGATTAACCCATGAGAGGTTCCAATTCAATAGAGCTCCATATCCTCATTGTAGAAAAAAAAAAACGAAAAATTAACCTTAGTTATACGGTCAAATAACAATTAATGTATTTACATGGTCAAAGATTACCTCCTACATTAGGTTAGGTCAGATTTTCTGGCACTATATAATCTCAATATCTCATTAGGTTAACATTTTTGATAAAATAAAAATAAAAAAATGGTGGAACAAAGAGACATAAAAGCATACTGTTTGTTCAGAGTTAGATTTTTGATGTTTCCTTGTCTTAGTAACGAATCAAGGACTTAATCATGTATTGCCCAAATTTGTCAAGTAGCTAAACTATATTAGAATATCTTAATAAATAATTATGTTTATAGCTTCATACACCTACTAAATGTGTGTATATGACATATAAAAGTGATTAAATTATATGGTTAGTATCTTTGGAAGAAGTATACTTTACTATAGTGTAAGGCTTGTGTAAGACTTGGAACTTGTAACGAAAGACCACTATATTTTACAAGTACCACCTTTCCCGACTTGATTGCATGTGTTTATACATGTTCAAACATTTTAAAAACTAAAACTGCCTTTATGACTACGCCTAAGCAATGTTCAGTTTAGATTAAAATATTTTTAGACAATTAAGTCGAACAGATAATGGAATTCTCAATCCCATCAAAAGGTATTTGGTGGAACTTGAACTTGTATCCTCAAAGTCACAAAATGAGTTTTTCGTCGTTTTTAACAACCTTGGTTGATTTGTAGTGACTACATGACTATATAGAGTACTTATGCTTGACATTTATTCACATACATTTGGCCTAATGGATAACTTACATATTATAGTTCAAGATATACTAGTTTATTCTTTCTTGCTGATTGATCTTATATATTTCATTAAGGTTATCCGGTAACACCACACGTACTTCAGGTTTATAACAAGCCACAGTCCCACATGATCCAATTGTTAGTTCCTTGAACCAAAGCATAATGCATTAACTATGAGAATGACTTGGCTAATTCATATACAGATGCTTTTAATCTTAAAAAAAAAAAAAAAAAAATACTAAATGACACATACTTTTTTCTCTTTTTTGGTTGAATCCTATTATATTTTATGCGCACGTATAAGTTAGTTTCACATTTGAGAAAACAGTAGCAAATTACCATCATTACACCCATATTCAATATTCTTTTGAAGCTTCATTAGCTCGTTAAGTGTTTTATTCAATATGATTCATGCATTAAATAGACCAATTTATTCTCATATTTAAAATGACCTAAATACCCTTATAAGCTAAAACATGCATGATTTCAAAGAATAATTTATTTAATTTTTAATAAAGAAAATTTAAACATTATATATATGTATCTGAAAAATAAACAATGAGATGAATTTACAAAACCCAATTCAGCATGATTATATTTTTTCCAAAAAATAAATCACAAAAGACGTCAAAGTAACTCACATAAATAGAGTTCATCAGTGTCAAAACATAACTAAAGTAAAACGGGAGAAGTAGTTCAAAGATAATTGTTTTGAAAGGGCAAATCGGCAAAAAGCATATATTAAGACTACTTGGCAATTGGCATGGATAGACAAAACGAACTTATCATAATGTAAGCACTAATGGTTCAATTATGAAAAACAAACCAATTAAACTTTATTCCATTATGAAGTGTACACAAAATGGACTGATTCAAAAGAACAATAATCTAAGTTCTTATGAAACTTGATGAGTAAGCACAAGATAAAATTAATTATACAATATTAATAACTATGATAAGCATTTCATGTTAAGAAAGTGACCCACATTTAATAATGAAAACTAAATAATGATAATAAGACGGTCGGATGACATTAATTAAACAACATGAACACCCTAACTCTACTGTTATCAAAACACGCGGCATCATGTTCAATCATGAACCCCATATATGAGAGCTCTTTCAATTTAATTTTATTTATTAATCATAAGATGAAGATTTATCAACTTCAAGGATGATAATTTGCATATTTTATTTGATCAATGACGTACTCAAATAAAACACTTGTGACATTCCCTCCATCGAAAATTAATTATTTATATATGATGTAATTTGATCTTATAATATTATGCATAATCAAATTCAATCCAGATGCATGAAGAAGCAACTATTACGATCATCGTTAAAAAAAAAAAAAAAAGCCTGGATGTACCTTATAATTGGTTGGTGAAGATTTTGCAAAGAGTTAACTTCAAAAATTAACTAAATACGAAGTATTTTACTTAAGAGGATATCCTATCCCTACCAATTAACAAGGTGAATGTGACTAATCCTAGAACTGGCTCCTTAGATTTTGCAATAACGACCATTCTTCCTAAAGGTCATTAATTTGCTACTACTAGACTATTAGTTAGAGAATACCATGTGAAGTGTACATGGTTAGATGTACTCTCGCAATTTTTGTCCCAATAATTGCATGATGCCGACCAAAAGCATTTGATTGTGTTTTTTCATTTTTATTATTAAAGAGGAACAACAATACACCCAAACATCTCTCCATTAAGCATTTATTTGAAATGGTACTATTACTAGCAACCTATAGTAATAGACCGACATTCTAGTGATTTATTCTTTACTAGTCTTAGGCTTAATTGAAACAAAAGTTTGCTACTTGTTATTTTGTCATACTCTTTTATATTTCATCTGTTTCTTTATAGTTGTAACACTTTTCTAAAATGAAAATGTCACAATAGTTGCAACACACTATAAATAAAGGTTTTTATGGTGAATATTATATTATTATCTTTATTTAAAGCTCACGACCCACTTGTTTATGCTTTTTATCAACCTCTTAACCCCATTTAAGTTTATTATATTATCTGAGGTCCACTTTTCTAAAATGTCGTGATAAAATGTGAGTTGCAACTACAAGGAAACGGAGGAAATAATTATTAAGGATATAACATGGAGTTACAAGACTATTTATGATCCAGGGCCGTTTCTATCTTAAGCAGTGGTATTATTATGAAAAGCTAACGTGGATGTTAACTAGTTGGGTTGGTTATACTGTTAAAGTATAGGAGGTAGTATCAAACAAGCGTAATCAAACCACATCCGCATAACTTATCCTCAAGGACTCTATACACCATAATGACTTATTGGGGAAACTAATCATAAGATATTGCTATGCATATTTATAAATGAGAACTTTTACCAGACATCTAAAGATATAGGAATATCAATTCAGAAGGGAAGAAACATTCATGCATGTATACCAGATAGTATGTCTTAAGAGTTTCTTCGAGTATTAATAGTACTAAAAGATGGAAAGAGAATATGGAGCTAGAGAAGACAGGGTTTTGAAGTGAAGCTGAGAAGACAGATCAATGCATGACATACCCGGCCCAGCAGTTCAAACCAAATTTTATGTTACAAACCCCTGATATTTCTATCCATACTTAGAAAGTAAATAGAATATCGTCAAGAACATAAAAGAAGTTACAAATAATCTATGTAACCAGCCCAATACTAGAAAGAAGTGGTAGTCATGAACTGAGCCTTACTAAAGACTCATTATTGATCAAAACTCGAAATAGTAGTTTCCTATAATCCCCCCAAAGATGGAACACCTTTATACTACGTATATATTCTCTACAAGCATAAAAACCTTTCCCGTGATTACTTGTAACACTTCTAACCCAAGTCGTTTAGGTGTGAAATACTCATACGTACATTCAAATTTATTATTGGCAAGCTGCTATTGTCAAAAAGTTTTCAAATTACCAACTCTCTTTAGTGTGTTACTTGGTCCCAAAAGCCCATGGATTAGATCCTTCCAACTCATCTGATGCTAACAAATCAATGTGTGTGGGGAGGGGGGTATTTGGCTGGCCTTTAGCAGACATAGATAGAAACTATGAATGCTTCTTTAGCTATTCAAGGTTCACTACTCATTAGGACCTTTACTTCACGCAGTGAACTTAAATTATGTCTACTTCAAGAAATGAAAACTGTTAGAATTAGTCCAAAAAAAATCTAATTAAACGTGGAAGAAACTGAAGAACTATAACAGATGCTCATGATTCATATTATACATATCCCTTGTACCTCAGAATACGTTTATGGACCAAAGCTGGATAACTTAGGCTAGTACATGTGCATGCTGGTTGAACCAGGCTCGAGTAAGGGGCTGAGGGCTAAGGGTGCAGTGTTGACTCACGAACTTTCTTTGTCCATATTGTTCTTGTCTTTTGGGACCCTCCTGGTTTAGTTTCCCTACCCCAATGGCTGGTTGCACATAACTAATTTCTAGAACTATGAAGTTCGGATATCTATTCAATGGCTGTCTGAGTGTACTTTCACTCTCCCAGCTCTCTGAAATCACAAAATCAGCCTACATCTTGCTGCTGGTGAAAAAAGCACTACTTAAGTACTTAGGATCCATATGGGCAATATCCCTAAAAAATCATATCCACTTCGAAGATTGCCTAGCATTCTCAAATGGCTTAGTTGATGATCGCGCATCCTAGGAACACAACCCAAAAAACACCAACCTAAATTTTGTATTGAGTTAAAGACAATAAACTCGCAAATGGAGAAAGAATGAAAGGATTATGAATTTATGATGTCTGAAATAAAAAATGGAACCCATTTCCCCTCACTATATAATGAACCTACAGCTAACAGAATTTCCCGCCACAACAGAAAGATAACCACTTTATGAATTAACTCCCAACCAACCCAACTGCCAACTAACAAACAATCCAACAGCAGACATGTCATAACAACCATTCAATCCCAAATCAACACAAATAAGTTCATTCAAGCAATTCATCGAACACCTTAAGAGCAGATTCTTATAAGAAAAAAAACAAATAATATCATATTGAAATCAAGCTGTAAATGACTCACCTTGGCGCATTCATCCACAACCCTGTCGAGTTCATCCCCAAATGCTTCTTCATCTTTCAACAATGTCTTCTTTAATTCAATCTTGAACTTCCGGGTTTCCTGCAATACCCCAAGAAAAAAAATAAAATAATAATAATAATAAAAAAAAAAGCAATAAAATTACAGAAACAAATTTGTGCAATGTTATTATTACAGCTTCAGCAAATTCTGGAATTGGGTCAGGATACACGTATTTCCGAGGCGGATTTGCTCGGAGTGTGAGAATTGAGGAGAGAGACTCAGTTCGATGGCGGCGAGGGCGCAGGATAAGAGAAGAGGGGCGCAAGATAAGATGGTTGAATGTTGGCAATTTGGCGGGAGTATTGATCAAGTTAGTTGAAAAGTGGAGGGAAGAGTAAAGCGCCATTAATGGAGATATTGTTGCACTTAAATTTTCTAGGCTTGTAAGTTTTAGTTTGGTTCAATGCACATCTCCTTGCAATATATTGTCTTTACTACTTGAGTATACTACATGTTTATGGACTATAATAGTTTATTGGGTTGTTAATTATTGAATTTACGGCCATAATTGAACTTTAGAATATAAGGTAGCATAATATCATGGCAAATTCTCAGCCAGATAATGATTGATGCATAAATGTTTTTTTTTTTCCTCCTTAGCAATGTGTTGCTTGAAAAGTTTGTACTACGTAGAAAACGGTCTAATTGATACAATTGTACAAATAGTGATGAAACTTGCATAAGGATACGATCAAGACTGATGACCTACAGCAAATTGTTTTGTGTAGCTGATAGCATCCAACGCGGTGCTCAAAGTGCACAATACATGCATATGTAATGAACACCCTCACCTTCACAGCCATCACAAGTGTAGCTATGCGCACTGTGAATGTGCTGAACCAGTAGCGGTCAATTGAAAGTTTGAAACCTACTACATCAATCCGTACCCCAGCTAACCAATATTTAAGCAATAATTAAAAGCTAGAGCATTCAGACTCGTATATTATGAAGATTAAAACCTTTCCGGGAGCTTTATTGCCCACAAAATAAAAGAATACATCTTAGCCAAGCAGGCCAAATATCTGTAGACTGTGGTCTGACAGAAACAAATCTCACCCCTCTCACTAAAATGGGTAAGCTTGTTACAACAAAACCCATGCCTAAACACTACAAAATTGCGTGCTTAATTAAATTACACATGTCATGGAAAAACATCAGTGCCAAATCACTCACTTATGTTTTGATACTACGCCTTGATTTTTTGGCAGAACTTTTATTATTTGATTTTTGTTTCCGTCCACGTTGCTTCTGGTCCTCCACTCTTTCGTGTGGATCTACTTCTTCAAATTTGATAGGATTAATGATCATGCCAGATTTCTTTACGACCTGTTTGAATGAACACACTAAATGTCAGAGGAAAACAAGAGAGAGAGAGAGAGAGAGAGAGAGGAGGAAAACAAGAGAGAGAGCTCACTTCTGGCCTGGTAAGAGCCCCAGCAGCTGTTGCAGGGTTAAATTCAGGGCCAATAGGCATACGGATGCTCTGTTCAAAAACATCTTTCGAAGCAAAAGGATAAGGCAGCGTCTTTGCATACAATTTCTCCCCCTGCCAGTTAACACATGACAGCATTAGGCAAGTTTGATCCACATCGATATTTCAAAGTAATAGAATGTGGAATAATTTAGATGCGTAGATAGAAAAATTGTATTGGAGGGAGTATTATCTAGTACATGACCTAGTTAATTAAACAAGACGAGTTCCCCTTGACAATTTTACCCACCACTTAATTTTCAACAATAAAATGAAGCAGATGGAAATATGACAAAGACTATAACACTGACCTTCTTATCTACTTTCTCAGATATGATTACGTGTTTAAGACGTGCATCCTTCCTTTTTTTTAAAGCTGCTTCTCGCTTTTGCTTAGCAGTTGCATGCTCTTCCAGCATCCAAGAAGGCAAACCCCTTTTCTTTTGGACATCAGTCCACTGACCCCATCCAGGAAGCAGAAGGGGCTTCTCTGGCTCAGGATTCTCTTCATTTAAAACATCATCTTTAACCTTTTCAAATTCTTCTTCCACATCATCCCCCGCAAATGCACGCTTTATTAGCTCTTCATTTGACGGTAGTTCATAAGCTTTCCCTGAAGTCAACATCCCATCTATCATATGCCCACCACTGTCTGTATCACTGTCATCCTCTACTTCCTAATAAATCAAGTGCACATACAGCAAGGCTGTCAAAACGTCCTCATAGTTATATATGTAAGCAAAACATGCAAAACATCCAATGATATGTTTACCTCTTCACTATCATTGCTTGGAGAAGGTTTTACAACCTCCCGCACACTCTTGACATTGGTATTAGAAGTGGAACCCACTTTACCCCCACTCTTCATCTGTATACATGATCATTAGAGTTATAAATAAAAATTCAACATTTCAGCACAATGTTTCTAAGCTCATAAGGATCTAAAAGGGGTGTTTAGTGTCTCAGTTTGCTCACTAGGATCCCCAAGCCCAACTCATTCAACCTTTTTCATTTTGTCATGAAACAACTTAGATGCATCATGTTTAAAAAAACATATAGTCAAAGGAGAACACCATTGCGACGTCACCAAGGAAACAAAAGGGAAGAGCAAAGGCGGAAAAGGTATATCATTTTATTCCATGCTTCCACACCTTCTTTAAAGACAAGTAAACTGATATTATGAAGCTAGAACAAGGTATCACATAGATTGGGTAAGGTCTGTAAGGAAGAGTGTAATTGCGTAAAAGCAGGTAACAGAATGCATTGGGGCAGTACATAGAATGCCCAAAAAGCCTTAGCTCATCAGCACATGACAGTGATGACACTGCAACTGCCCCCATATGACAGGCAAGAATAAACAACGCAGATATACAGAATAGCTCTAACCTGTTTCCATGAACCAGATGTGAAAACAGAAACATCGTGGCTTGTTCTTGGCCCAGAGTCTTTAGCTACATCAATAACACTCTGCGAAGTACAGCAGTATTAATCAAGCTAATTTGTAACAATTATACCCTCAATGTAAGAAATAAGGCAAGGACTTAATTACTTTGAAAGCTGAATCATCAACAGTCTCCAAATCATCACGAAGTACATCCAAATCAATGTCAATATCATCCTTCTCTTCAATGGTATCTTCATTATCACTGCCATAATTGTCAACATCAGGTCTATGCTTTACGTTAGCAGCCTCTTCAATCTTCTTTTTGGGTACGCCAAAAACTCGTCTACCACTGGAAGTCCCTTCCTTCAGGCCCTTTCCTGCACTCTGGTTTAAAGATAAATCATAATCGTCTAGAGCGCGCTTGGCTTCTTCATTAGCAGCCTCCTTTCTTTTCTCCAGCCCTCGTACCTATGATTAATGTAAGAGTTAGAAAACAGATAGTGAAAGCAAAAATCTTAATACCATATGTATATGAGAATCAAAATCACCAATCAAACATGAAAATAACCTAAGTTACCTAAACTCAACCCCCCCTCCCCCCCAAAAAAACACCCCATTTAATATTTAAATTCCCATCAATTGCTCACTGTTCTCCACCATGCACGTTAGTGGATGAAGCATGGGAATGCGCACTTTAACTACCCAACCTGTTGCATTAATCTCTCATCTCTCTACAGATCTTTGGCTGGTGAACAAACCTTGTTCAAAGATGTAGTTTGATTGTCATTTCTACATCACATTTCATTAAAACTGCCACTAGGCCTGATGATTCCCTAGGTTCAGGAGGAGAAAATAGGATAAGTTGGAGAACTTCACAATGTCGGGAGAGGTCAACAAAGTCTATTATGAGGAAGGAGCAATAAATACAGAGAAAAACATGGACATTACTATAATTGTACATATTAAAAAATAATATCAAAGGATAGATATGTAATTGAACTGGCAAAGAAAGAGAAATCCGAAGTGAAAAGCTTCAAGAATGCAATGGCAAAGCTAAAGATTGAAGCAGAAGATGTTGACCAGATTCACATAATTTCAATTTTAGCTTTATAGGACCAGAAAAACTCTTGGCTTTGAATGCCATTTAAGTTCCATTATGAAGGAGCTTATACTCTTTTCTGCTTAGTTAATACAACCACCACCACCTCCACCCCCTCTTCTGAGATCATTCAATCCATATTTGCAGAGCCAGAGCTTTGAGGAGGAAAGAGGGCAAAGAACTAAAAAAATAAAATTAAAAAAAATATTGAATGACAAGAACTACAAGAATTGTTGAGAAGAATTTTTGAACAAGTTTGAACTGTTGGAAGAGAAGGTCAACGTTGAGTTCTTGAAAATAAAAGGAAAGCCACAAGCCCCAAAAAAGTGCAACTATAATAAAATCTTCAGCTAATAACAGTGCAAAATATAACAGTTAACAGCAAATTAACGTCCTGAATGATTACACGGATGCCCAGGAAAGGCAGAATTTATCTTTTTAATCCTTTTTTGTGCCATCCATTTTTCTTAAGATAAGATCCATTATAGGTTTCAGAAGCCTCCATTCCACGCAAAACAGAGCAAAGGGATGCAAGAATGATGTGATGAAACACAATAAGCAAACAATAGAAATGGGCAGAATATACCATGAAAGGCAATGAAAGAACCCCTGAATCAGGCACTTCATCCTCTTGTTCCATTATTTTAATCGTTTTCTCCTTTGCCTTAGCCAATAACTTAGATGCCCCCTCCTCATCTGAACTATACATATCCTCATCATCCTCATCACTGCTATCATCACTGCTGCTGCCATCCTTCATGGAATTAATTTTCCTGGTCAGAAGATTATGAAGATTCAACTGCTCAGCTATAGCAGCTTGAGTACCTTCATCTTGTTTACTTAAACCGCGTTCAAGAACACGTTTAGCCCACTTTCCTTGGTTTCTGTGCCTCAGTGTCATGCGTGCCTGCACCATAAAAACACAATACCAATGATTCGTCATTGAGTGAAATTGGCTAAACCACATATACAGCATTAAACATACAACAACAGCACATCATTTTACATGCCTCTGCTCGTTTTCTTTCTTGTTTCTCAGCATACTCTTTGGCGACTTCAGGATCGGTTTGCAAATCCGAAGAAGCTGCCTTCAATTTGTCTTTTTTCTTTAAGCGATGATAAGTCTTGGACTTAATTTTTTTAACATGTTTTGCTTTCATTTCATGACGGAAAAGTAGACTGCGCATTTTAGCAAGTCTGTTCTGGCGGTCCTTCACTTCTTCGATAGATATCTGTACACCATACCAAGAGGAACATATTAAATTTTCAATCTAAGTAATGGCATGCAAGAGCAACAAACAACATAAATTCATGGTATTTTAATTCTGATCCCAATCACAAAAACTTTCAATCCTCCAAACATTCAGTACAGCACAATGCTTACACTTTGTTCCTTTACGAGGCGACAAAATTATTGCATGAACTACACAGAGACATTCAACTTAAAGTAGAAAATAAACCGTTGTAGTAGAAAATTCTTAGGCTAGGATTATGTTTTCAACAAATACCACTTCACACTGCCATCCGCTTCTATTCTTACCTAACAGTTGTAGTAGAAAATTCTTAGGCTAGGCTTTGTCAAAAAGGGTAATAGAGCAAGTATGAGGAATAACACCATACATGCCACAGGTTTGCTTTGCGTTTACACACCCTGCCATACTACCCATTGGCAATAGAA